ATTTCATTGGAGATAGAGAGGTGTAGAGAGGTAACTTTGCCCACTTAATCTGAAGGGTTGACATACAGAAACTATATTAACTAATCTGAGGCTATTCACCTCTCTCTCGCCTCTCGTTTCCCCCTCTCTGTTTAAGCTGGTTCGGAGATGTATAATCAGGACCACTGAGCAGAAGCGTTTCTGGGGAGGCTGGTTTTGGTGGAACATACAAGGGTCATCCCTCCATTACTGAAGTAGTTTGTTAGTGGGGCAAGCTGCTGTTTGGGTAGAGAACACACTGCCACTCCGAAAACTCAGGTGACAGCCTGACAGTCACCAGTCAGACATGCTATAGTAAGGAGGGGCATGAAAATGGCAGGTCCCCCGACCATTAGAGATTCTTGGGCGTGTATCTGTTGTAGTGTGTCAGTAGATATGATGATGTAATGCCTTAGTCTGTTTGTGCTGCTCCAGTAAAAGAGCCAAAACTTTTGCAAATTTATAAATAACAAAGACTTATTACAATTTATTAGTCTGGGAAGGTCAAGGTCAATGGCTCCACGCCTGACAGGGCTTTTGTGCTCTGATATCCCAGTGAGAAAGGCCTGAGGGCCAGAGAACACACACTCAGGGAGGGATTGGGGATGGGTACTCACTGGTTTCCATGGTGACAGTGTTAGCGTTTGTAAGGGCAGAGCCCTTATGGCTAATCACCACTTAAGGCTCACTTCTCAGTATGGTCACAATGGGAGCTAACTTTTCTAATTAAGGTCTTTAACACAGGAGCACTGGACTGAGCTCCCAAGGTCCCAAGGAGGAGCAGAAGGAGGGAGAACATGAGCAAAGAATTCGGGACCACGAGGCGTGCATCCACCCACTGAGACAGTGGAGCTGATCTACTGGGAGCTCACCAAGGCCAGCTGGACTGTGACCGAAAAAGCATGGGATAAAACCGGACTCTCTGAACATGGCGAACAATGAGGACTGATGAGAAGCCAAGGACAATGGCATGGGGGTTTGATCTTACTTAATGTGCTGGCTTTGTGTGGGCCTAGCCAGTTTGAATGTTCACCTTCCTAGATATGGACGGAGGGGGGAGGACCTAGGACTTAACACAGGGCAGGGAACCCGGACTGCTCTGTGGACTGGAGAGGAAGGGGGAGAGGAGTGGGGGGAGGGGGAGAAGGGTGGGAGGAGGGGGAGAAGGGTGGGAGGAGGGGGAGAAGGATGGGAGGAAGGGAAGGGAAATGGGAGGCTGGGAGGAGGCGGAAACTTGTTTTTTGTTTATGTTTTTTTTTCTTCTTTTCGCAATTAAAAAAAAAGATAATAATAATAAAAAAAAGAATATGCTCAAACCAGGCTCTCCAGGCTGGAGATGACTGTGAGACCTGCAGCTTGTGTCCAGGCACAGTGGGTGGGTTAGAGATATGTGCCTTTCAGTGCATTGTGTGTGGGAGCAGGGTGAGGCCTTGTGGATGTATAGCCTTTGAGAGTCCTGTCCAGGCGGGGATGCGCAACCTAACCTTCGTATCTTTTCCTAAGTTCCATTTTCTTCGCCTTGGGATGTTTATTCTTCTTGTCTTTCTAGCCAGTGAGATGGCCTTGTCTCCATGTGAATCCTCCCAAACTGACTCGAATTCAGGTTACATCTTCAACTCAAGTTGTCTCTGCTGGTTTGGACTGAGCGTGTTCAAATGCCCACCACAAGTAGGACTTGTGAACCACACCACATCGGAATCTCCATTTTCTCCTGCTTTATGTTTGACATTTTGTTGATGCTATTACACCCTTAACAAATCTTTCCTTTGAAATATCATCTTGTCATTATCCCATGCTTCTGAGTTTGAAAAGATGCTGTCTGACAGTGTACATAAAAGTAGAACAATCAACTTTTACCCGGTTAGCCTTTGCAGACCCACATAGTCTCAAGTCCCCATCTCTCAGTACTGTGCTTCCCTCTTCTGAAGACTGCATTTTACACTATGATTATTTTGTCATTTCCTTATTCAGCCGTTGGTCTCTATGTCTTTTAAAAGCACGGCTATGCTTTTCTGAGTCTTGTGCTTCTGAAATGTTACAAGACCTAAGGCCTCTGTTGGGCTTTTTCTCCCATGAAGGTGAGGACCAGTAAGCTTCTCAGAATTAGTAAGTAAGGTGACGGCCTGTTGTTGGCTGCTCAACAGAGCCCTGGCACCCACAGTTACTGCCTTCAGAGGGATTTTGTTTCAGAGCATTGGTAAGGGAGAATCAGGTTCCTCAGAACTGAGGTTCAGTATTGAAGTAAGATCGAATCTGGCTACAGGCCTGAAGATCCCAATGTTGTACTTACAATATAAGTTCAGATACTTAACATTTTTATAGTTCTTTGTATTCTGAAGGAATGTTTCCCAGTTTTAATAGGAAAGTAACATTCATCAGATGTCCATTCATATACCAAACTCTACCTGTGTAGAAAGTCTGACAACATAGTATCAAATGATAGCTTTGTGATTAAAGAAACCAAGGCTCAGGAAATGGAGAAATTAGCCCCTAAACACACTGCTAGAAATTGATAAAATGTTTTAAAAGCAAGAAAATCCTAATTATAAGCCCCTATACCATTTACTCAGAGACTTAAAAGCTCCACGTGCTGACGGTTCACAGCAAGGCATGAGGGAGGCGTTACTGAGTTTTAGCCTTGGAATTTAAAGCCCATAGTGTTTAAAACCTCTGTTTAAGTCACATGACTTGTGCATGATAAAATAACATCTAATAATTCGTCTACTAAGGCCTTACCTTTATGTGTCAGGTTTCTCCTTTAACTATTTCTAGAGCTTGAACATCACTCACGCAGTTACCAAGTATTCTTGGACCAATACCTCAATCCGTGGGAAATAAAAACCTTTGTCTTTTGCCCCTCCCCCTCATACATGCACCTTCCAGCTTAGAGCTGAAATGTAAGAAGCTTGTAAGTTTATTCATTTGAACAGGATAGAGTTCTTCCTGTGCCCAGGGCAGCATGAACTATGAGGTTTGCAGTTAGGAATCTTAATTCAAATCCTGGCTTTAAATGAGATGCCCTTGTGCTCTCAGAACAGTGGGCTGCTTTGAGTTTCATTCTCGTGCCTGTGACTGAAGGCACACCTTCCTTAATGGGCAGTGTCTCAATGCTAGTGTTAGCAGTTAGCGTAGGGCAGTGAGGTACAGTGCTGTGGTGCTCAGAGTGAGGACTGAAAATCTTCCTGCATCCTCAGGACCTCTTTGGGATCCATGAGTTCAAAAGCGTTTTCAAAAACACGAGGACATTAAATGGTTTTCTATTTTATTTGTATATGTGACTGCATGGGTATATGTGCATCGCAATCATTCAGGTGTCGTGGGAACCTGAAGAGGGTGTAAGAGACCCTGGAACTTCAGTTCTCGGGTCTCTCCAGTGTGGATGCTGGCAATCAAGAGCAGGGAATACTCCTAACTTGAGCCATCTTCCCAGCTCTCCCTTTAGCTCTTTCACTAGAACATACTGGTGTATTCCACAGGTTACAGAGCATGAGACATGATGGACTGTAGGGAAGGGTCATCGGGAGTATCTAGTTGCTCCCACCAACACACACACACACACACACACACACACACACACACACACACAATGATGTCTTAAAGCAGTCCCTTCTGCATTGGAATCACCTGTAAATCTCTGAAAACTATTGAGTGGCTCCTACCACAGGCTGATGTAAGTGATGTGTGTTTGCCCACGGTGCACTGGGCTTTCTGGAAGTTCCTCAGACGATGCGAGTGTGCAGCCAAGTCTGCGAACTGTTTCCTTAGGGGTTTTGAGGATTAAACCAGTGCTATTCTTCACATTACTGTGAAACATATAGTTTGTTTTGGGAAAACATTATTTCTGTCACCATGTAATGGCTCTTAACTTTGAAGGGTATAAAGGGGTTCAGAGACCCAAAAAGAGCTTGAGAGATGGATACCCGTAGGTAAGGAGTGACACCTCTCGGGCTGTGGAACCAGACTGCATGTTGATGTGACTTACCACAGCAACCTTTGTGACCTTGAGAAAATCTTACCCATTTTGTGCTTCAGCTTCCTTGTTTGGATTTAACAAAATTTGCCTCAGTATTTTGTGAGGTCAGATGAGCAGCTCTGTACCATCTGATACAAAGTCTGGGATATGGTAGCTCCATCAGTATTTGTCATCCTTGATTACTGAGTATTTATTCATTTGCTTCTCTCTGTTACTATGGCAAATACTAGAACCGAAAGAAATTTAGAGGAGAAAGGGGGTTCTGTTTGGCTTATACGTCAGGTCTGAGACTCAAAGCGGGAATCGGAAGCAGAAATCATGAAGGAATGCTGCTTTCTCGCTCTCTGACCCATCTCTACAGCTCCCCGCACCTGCGGGAGATATCGCCTCTCACAGTGCCCCAAACATGACCACAGGTAGTTTTATCTGGGCAACTACTCAAATCGACCATTCCTCTTCCTAGGTAACTGTAGTCCGTTACCTGTGTCAAGTTCAAAATAAAAATGAAACAGCATGCTGCAGTCACTCTTGCAGGTGCCGGACGCATAACAATTGACAGCCTTGTGGCTTCAAGGTAGAATTTTCTCATCAACTCATTCTTCCTTTCATTTCATCTTCCCGCTTCATGGAGCAGGAGCCCTTGTGTGGTGTCTCTTGGGGGACTTCTCAGGAAACTGTCATGAGTGGAGAAGTCAGATGACGTGGTCACCCGAGTTTGAACTTCGGTTCATATCTTTACTTATAGAGTGGCCATGCCACAACGAGCAAGAAGGATGATCACACCAAAGTGAGTGTTCTGTGGGTGAGGAAGTGGCCTTCCAAGGGTACAGGATGGATTTCATCACCCAAAATGATCCCCCTTGAGTCACCCCCAACCTCTTTTGTTTCAAAACTGTGAGTTTTAAGTATGTATGTGTCTTGGCTCTTTCTCATGAGCCTACTATCCTCTGAGATGTATTGCTTTGCATCTTTATTTGCACAGTGCTATTCAAGAACAGCATTCCCCAAGTTATTCTCTGGTGTACCACAAAGTTGAGTAAAAGAGGGAGACGAACAGCTCAGTAATGCTGAAGATCATCAGCATAGCCAAAATCCCCTGCAACAGAAGCAAACAGGGGAGTCAGGACATTAGGACAGAGATGGCTTTGCTGATCACAATGAAGCAGTCGAAACTACACAATAAACCCTCCCCTCTCAACTTAGTGAAGGATAATGGGAATATAAGCTGTACTAACATGGCATAGGAGAGCATTATTTTCTTTAAGAAAAATCAAACAGAATGTTTGCTAAATGAAATGCAGGTAATTTTCCATTTTATAGACGCAGCATCCAAAGAGGAGTGCATATCAGAAAAGTAGTCTCTTGAAGGACAAAGACAGAAGAAATCCAAGAGATAGGAAATGGTAGAGACAAAAATAGAAAAGGCAAGGAAAAGAGGGGGGAAAGGGAAAACTACTGCCCCAGAAAAAAAAATGCAGCACACAGAAAAACAGACACGGAGAGAAAGCTAGACTAGAAACACCACTCAGTCCTTTCTAATTGCTATAGAAAATTTTGTTTGGTTTTGTTTTTCAAGACAGGGTTTTCTGTAGCTTTGGCGCTTGTCCTGGAACTTGCTCTGTAGACCAGGTTGGCCTCAGACTCATGGAGATCCGCCTGCCTCTGCCTCCCAAGTGCTGGGATTAAAGGTGTGTGCCACCACCACCCAGCTACAGAAAACTTTTAAAGTAGATGGTACCATGCCGGCTAAGAGCACACATAGCCCTACACACTTGGTCAGGAATTCACAGGCTGGACCCTGGCACAGAGCTGGTCAAAGCCTGCCCTCTTCCAAGACTGGATCCTTCTGTTGCCATTGCAAAGGCTCACGTTATTGACAGTCTATTCTATGCTGTATTTGTCTATTGTATTTTTATGATAGCTTGAATAACTATTTAAGATCCCCTGGTTTATTTTAACAGTGATCCAATGTGTCATGGTGTAAAGTATTTCAATACTTTACTCCTCTGTGACAGGAGCTGATATATTTCCTTCTTTTTTTTCTCTTCGCTGTTTGTTTGTTTTACTTTGAACAATGCCGCAGCAGTGTTCTTGTAACGCATGTTTATATATAGGTGGTTTGTTTGCAGTGGAGATCGACACTGGGCTGAAGCTGGGTGCCGTTTATGTAAGTGGATGTTGTCTCCCACTCTAACATCTCAGATGATGATGCATCTTTACATCACGTCTCTGCTTGCCATCCTACTTCCTCATTACTCCTTGACTGCAGCCTGGGACCTTCTGATTGAATCCTGCTGGATGCTGAATGCATCAATTAATAAATTTCCAGGCTTTTGATAGAGAGAAAGCAAGTTGAGGAATTTTATACATGACTTAATCAAATTGAGGAAGTTCTTCCTCTACTCATGGCTTGTTGAGTGTTTTTGTCATTTGACGATGAATTCAGTCAAATGTTTTATTTTCTATGTCCACTCAAATATCATGTGGATTTCATCTAGTGCTTTGCTGATATGGTACAATAAATATATAGATTTCTTTAAATATACATTCCATTCTTGGGACACATGAAACCTGGTTGTAGTTGATGATCCTGTGTATACATCACTAGATTCGACATGCTTGTATTTAACTGGGGACTTTTACAGCTATATTTATAAGAAATATAGGTCTGTAGTTGTCGTCATGTGTTTTTGGTGTTTGGGCCTGGTTAATTTCAGTCTTATAGAACACATATCATCCAGACACTGTCACAGTGATGTCATGTTAGTAAGGTTGTCTATTAGTTATCTTTTTTTTTGTTTTTGAGACAGGGTTTCTCTGTAGCTTTTGGAGCCTGTCCTGGAACTAGCTCTTGTAGACCAGGCTGGCCTTGAATTCATTGAGATCTGTCTGCCTCTGCCTCCCAGATGCTTGGATTAATGGCATGCGCCACCACCGCCTGGCTCTATTAGTTGTCTTAAACCTTAAACTAGCATGGGGAAAACAGAAAGATAAGAAAGTCACAGTAAGGTCGAAATTAGGAGCAAAAGGAGAGAGAGCACGAGTAAGGAACTCAGGGCCATGAGGGGTGCACCCACACACTGAGACAATGGGGATGTTCTTTCGGGAACTCACCAAGGCCAGCTGGACTGGGTCTGAAAAAGCATGGGATAAAACCGGACTCACTGAACATAGCAGACAATGAGGACTGCTGAGAAGTCAAGAACAATGGCAATGGGTTTTTGATTCTACTGCACGTACTGGCTTTGTGGGAGCCTAGGCTGTTTGGATGTTCACCTTACTAGACCTGGAAGGAGGTGGGAGGTTCTTGGACTCCCCACAGGGTAGGGAACCCGGTCAGCTCTTCGGGCAGATGAGAGAGGGGGAGTTAATTGGGGGAGAGGGAAGGATATGGGAGGTGGTGGCGGGGAAGAGACAGAAATCTTTAATAAATAATAATAATAATAAAAACAAAAAACAAAAAAGAAAAATAAAGAAAGTCACAGTTAATGGCCACGGCACTTTGAAGGAGGGCACTTTTGCTCCAGTAATCTTTAATGGAGATCACACAGTTGCTAAGCTCAAGGAGTTGGAGCTGCCTATGAGCTGTGTCATATCTTGTGGAACATCTACTTTGGGATTTCTTAAGGACTGTTGTTTGAGACTATGTGAGGTGTGCCGGCACCGGTGGTGGTTTAGTAATGCTGCAATATACAGCTTCTCTCAACATATAACATATGTTATATAGATAGAAACACATCATACCTAGTATTATATATATGTATATATTCTCTTGTTGAAAATCATCACAAAGAGTGATGATTAGACTGTATTATTGGCAGAGGAGCGCAGTGTATCTTGTTCCTGTTAGCTGCCATCCATAGAGTCATTTCTTTTTATACAATGTTTTCAGTTTGGGTTGGAAAAAGTTAGAGGGACTTCGTGAAGCTATTGCTCATCTATCCCCATATATCCTTTAGCATTGGCAAGATCCAGTTCAAGTTGTGAGCATTCTTGGATCACCTAGTTGATGTCTACTGAAAGTTAAAAATCTCAGGGGGTGGGGATGGGGCTGAGGCATGGGAAGAAGTCATATGTTTGGTTTATGGCTACAGTTTCTTAAGTTTCTTTTCTTCTCTATTTACTCTGTTTAGTGAGTCCTCTGTACCACTTTGGGCAGGGCTCTTTGTTTTATCCTTACTTGAAGATTAAGAAGCCTATTGAGGGCTCAAGTCACTGTAGCCCTGCCTTGAGTGGACACTGGCCCTTCACCTTCCTCTCAGAATTAGATTTCAGAAGGCCAACACTGACCCACAGCTGCGACACATAAGCAGCTTGTGTGTTCTTTAACGTTCTGTTTAGAAATTCCAAGTCCTAAGCTTTTCTTTTACAAACTTCTAGTTTGCAAATAGCAAACCTTTAAGGCTTTTAAATGTCTTGAGTGAGTTTTGTTTTATTTGTTTTATAGGTAGCACTTTGTTTTCAGAGGATTGATTTGGAAAGTTCTGCTCAGCATGACCAACCAGCTCCCTCTTCTCTGATCCCCTTATGTGATTTTGGGGGTCCTATTATACTCAATCACACCAAACACTATCTTAGAACAGCTCTCTTTTTACATGAACCCCATTCTCTCAGGTAGTTTTGAACTTCTTCATCAATTTTTGGTGGCATTTGGATTAAAGCTATTGCCTCATCTCAATCCGCCATGAAGATACTCATGTTAGCAGTCTTTAATGTGACAATCAATTTATTTCTATATTCATACCTTTTACATTATTTTACACTAATTATTGTTGTATTTTGGGCAGAGCAGAAATGTCTATTTTCAGTTTACTGTACTTTATCAGAAATATAATCTAAACATTAAAATCAAATAAAAACCATAGACAAAATTATAATGTATATTGAGAACTTTGAACCACAAGCCTACCACTAAGCCTCTATCTTAGTATCATTTTCTATATATATTATACTTATTTTGCGTGCATGTTTTATATGCTTTATAAGTTATTGAGTGTTTATTGTTCTACTCCACAATGCCTGCTAAAATGTTGGTTTGGTCCAGTGGACTCTTGAATGTCTTGAGTACAGAGAAATGCACACATGTCCACAATACTGTCTGGATGGTGCTGGGTGCTAGCCTTTTGTTTAAACCATCTCTTCTCATTCTAGGAATGGCGCAGGGGACTTACAATGAACAGGGTGGTAATAGCACCACACTGACTAGAATCTGGAGAATAGCCACAGATGAATTCTCCATCTAGAAGGAAACCAAATATGAGGAGAACGATTCCAGCTGTTGCTCCCAGGGCACTGAGTAAATTCATCACCTGGCTCATTTTTATCTGCAATAGAATCAGAACAGAACACAAGACTCAGGCCTACCTTGTGCCACAGACAGAGCAGTGGGGATGGGTGAGTACTGGAGAGCTCGATTAGTCCCAACACCAAGAAACCACCATGTGATCATTTAAAACCTTTGCAGCTCATAATAGTCTTTGGGCATTCTTCCACAGTGGATGAGAGAAGTCAGCTAACCTTTGATCCCCTCTCCATCTCTCAAATTCTGTGCCTGGGTTAACTTCCATTCAAATAGAGGTAGCTGTGGCCTGTTTAAATGTTCATTTAAGACTGTATTTAATCCAACACTGTACTCATTACTTTGTCACTGGTATCTTCTGAAAATTACAAACTTTTGGGTCTGGTGAGATGACTCAGCAGACAAATGAACTTGCCACCTGGGTTCCATGCCTGGGACCCCCATGGTAGAAGGAGAGAACCGGCTCCTACAAGCTGTCTTCTGACTTCTGCGGGTACATTCTGACTTCCACAGATACACCATGACTGCCACTGATACACTGTGACTTTCGTGAGGACTGACTACCATGGGTACATTTGTGTGACTGCCCCAGGTACACTGTGACAGCCATGGGTACACTGTGGCATGAACAAGCACCCCATACAATACCTAATAAATAAATGTAAACATATTTTAAAATTACAAAATGTTAGGATGTTCTTTGATTCAAATGACTTACTGACTTATTACTATCTAATGTCTTTGTTGCTTTGAGTGAGATAGAATACTCTATATCTACAAATTTACATAGACCAGCAACATATTCTTTACCTCTGGAGTCTGTTTATGATTTAATTAGGTTGTCTACATCATGCTATTCCTGTGAGTCAGACTATGGCCTGGTAAAGCATCTAGTCTGCAGTAGACTCCAAAACTACTTATGGAAGAGAATGAATGACTAGAGATCTGAGACCCAATCTGCATTAACAACCTAAGATCATAGACAATAATTGGACTGGTCCGTGCCTCAGTGTCCTTAAGTAGAACATGAAACTCAAACATAATAACCTGGAAAAGTCTCCTGATAGCTAATGACTTTTGACTCTATGATGACTTTCAGAGCCAGGCAAAGTATGTAGTAATTATAATTTTTACAAGGCAGAAATAGAACTCACCATATAGTCCGTAGTTTTTCTTTTCAGTGCAATCAGAAATGCTCCAGAGTTAATGAACTACAAACAAACAAAGAGATAAAAAGTATCTCCATGATGGACATGGTAAGCTGATGTGGAGTGTTTCTCAGGTCATGTCTCTGTCCACTTCTTCCTTATGCCTCTCTCCTAAGGTCACAGAAACACCAGGGAAGTGAGGAGGGTGAGCCACCTCTGTCCACAGAACAGAGGACGAAAAAGGGTCATGTCCTTTGTGAGCCATCTCTGTCCAGAGAGAACAAAAGGCTAGGTCTGCTTTAGTCTGAGCCACCTGTGTGAAGAAGAGGCTGTTTTTACCTCACTGGACTTTCAATTTCCTAACCCATTTCCTGTTAGTGATATCATGACTCAGTTTCCAAATGACATCAGTGTCATCATTTTAGGAACACTAAGGTCATATAGTCATTAGAGTCCAACCAGTGTGTTCTGTTGGATAGGAACACTGGGTACAGTTTTGGTCAACAGACTGGTGAAAGAAAGAAAAGAAAAAGGAAAGGAAAGGAAAGGAAAGGAAGGAAGGAAAGAAGGAAGGAAAAAAAGAAAGAAGAAAAAAGGAAGGAAGAAAAGTAAAGAAAGGAAGGAGAGAAGAAAGGAAGGAAAGTAGAGAAAGGAAGGAAGGAAAAAGGAAGGGAGGAAGAAAGGAAGGAAGAAATCACACACACCAATTTTTATGGAGGTCGATCAAGTATGGGAGCCTCGTTGCTTAGTGGAAACTTAAAATCTGAGCTTGGCCCCAGCTATGTTTAAATTTTCAGACCCGTTTTCCAGCCCCATTTGTAGTGGATGCTTTCCCAGACCGTCAGACAGACAATGAGACCTCCCTGCCTTTATATCCAGACACTGCCCTGTTCCCACTCTTTGTATATACTTTTTTCACCTAAGTAAACAACCCTTCATTCTTTAAGCCCTGGTCTTGCTGGAAATGACTGAAAAGTTCCCTTTACACTTAGATGTCTTTCCTTTGGAAGCAGCTTCTGCGTCCTTGTCAAATACTTGTCATAGCCTGCGGTATGAGGACTTGTGGCCAGGGACTGCCTTCTACTGAATCCCTCACCCTGCCCCTTCTCTGATGCTAAGAAGGTGCTAAATTAATGTGGACTATGTGTGATTAAATAAACATCTCTGCATGGCTCAGAAGGCACATCCAGGAGCTGTCCCTGTCCCTGCTTCTTCACTTTCTGCAGAGCAAACTGTTTGCTTATCAACATCAGAAGCAACACCACAAAGGTATAAGAAGTACACTGATCTCTTGGCATGGTTTCTTTCTTATCAGACTGAATGTCCATTGGAGGATAATCAATGTCCTAAAATTTGGATCTTTATTGTCTTGCTCTATAAAAACAGTTTATCATGTGTTGTAAGAAATTTTGGATGAATTAATGGACCAATAAACAACCACAAAACCCAGAGGAATATTCTCTCAAAATTTCAAGACCCAAAGATGGGCTACCATCAATCTGGTAATTCAAAGGAGGATAGACGTAATTGCAATGAGGTTATTAATGCCTTTGTGACATCTTCTACAGAATTATATACCCAAGTCTGTCTTGCTTCATAACTAAGAATTCATTCACTAACACCTTGCCTGGTTGATATGCCTTTAAATTGAACTAAATGCACTGTACTCACCAAAGCAGAGCCCCAAAATGGATATCCTGAGATAAATATAAAAGGAAACCTTGGATATGGGTTTACCAAGGTGAAAAGGAAAACAACTCCAAATGAAAAGTTCATGATTCCACACAGGATCTGGGTTGTCTGCAAAAGAGGGGAAAGTGAGCTCAGAAGAGACACAGTGGTGGCGTCCATTCTACTTAAATCTTTAGTTATGGATTTGGCCGTCACCCTCTTTATAATCTAGGGAAGGATAATGGACGTCCCTTTATAATATTCCTTGATGTTTTGTTAATCCCTCCATCTGATTTGAATTTAAATTATGGAACCAGCATGGCCAATCAAGGGGCTACTCAGGAAAATCCTTTTGGAGGTGCGTGATCCTCTGAGCCTTTTGAAGCAGGGTTGCATCCCCAGGCCTGTGCTCGTAAGGCATATTCTCCACCTACTGTTTGTTAATGCTAGGCAGGGGTCTGTGGGTGCTAGAGAAGCCTGGTGAGAATGGCAGAAAGGACAGAAGGTGTATGACCCAGGGGCTTTTTGTCGTTTATGAGCTCTTCACTCTACTCCTCAATCTGGGTGAGGTCTTTTGCTGCAGTACCAACTGTTAGTGGCCGAATCCTAAGAGGTATGGTAGGCATTTTTGTCATATCTGGATGTCTGTCCCTCTTAAATGTCCCAATACCAACTCAATCCATATGTCCTCCGATGGGCTCACTTTCCTGCTTTAAGCCTGGTTTTCTGACTTTTTTGTTGTTGATGCTGTCGTCCTTTTAGGCTTGGGGTCATCAGTTCACCTATTTTTTTCAACTTCCCTGAGTGCCAAAATCCCAAAGTAGCTAACTTTCCTATTATCTCTAGTTGTGAAATCATGCATACTTCAGCCTGACACCAAGCCTGACAAGCAGAGCTCGATCCCTGAAACCCAGATGGTGGAAGGAGAGAGTGCACTCTGACCTCCACACGTGTGCTGTGGCATACATATGACCATCTCTGCACACAAATGAGTGGATACAGGTAAATATAAATAGCAACCTGACAAAGGAATTACAAAATCATACATATTTGATTTGTATCCCATCATCCTGCTGTAGGCAAATTCGGGATGCTTATTTCATAACTTTGTTTTTCCGCGTGTTGGTGGATATACAGAGATATTCTTCCATTGTCCGTCCCTCACCCAAGGCACTCATTGACTTCTTTCACTTAATATGAAAATGAGATTCTTTATGCTTCCTCTTGGCTTGTTACCCTCTTCTTGTATCACAGACCTTCATTACTGGGTCTATTATACTGCGTGGCTAAAACATGACTAATTTATCAGGCAGGTCGAGTCTTTATATTCTTAGTCTTCTTAAATCTTTTAAGCCCAGGTTGATCCTCCCTTTGCTTCCTGGGCATCACTTTCCAGTGCTTTCTGCATCTAGTATGCTTCTCTTTTCTTCTTTCATTTCTATTTGTTGGAATTCCATCATTTCTTCAGAATCTGCATTAAATGTCCAATTCATTGTGAGTTGTATTCATCCCCTTTTAATTGTCCCAGCTCTGGGCTCCCATTGCCACTGTCACTGTTTTTACTCTTGTTAGATACTCCATTGAAATACAGTTCTCAATATATTCATGCTATTTTTATGTTTGAATGACACCTCATTTTCCTCAGTGAGGAAAAACTAGCTTGCATTTATTTCTGTGAATACAGCAACTAACATAGGTGCTTGCACCTAATTCCACTTTTGTTAAAGTAATATAAGTGATTTCGTTCAAAATCGGATTCCATTGTATTTGAAGAAAGACTGGAGCAGATTGCACCAGTGGTCTTCCACTTGCTATAGGATGATCTTTCTTATTTCCTTCTTTTCTTTTCCCTGAAAAAGTCCACTTTCTATTTTCCATTGTGGGAGACTGGAGTTCAAAGGACAAAATATTCTCAAAGACATGGGTGACATTATACCCTCAAGCATACCTCTCTACCTCTCACGTTCCCATTTTCTTAAGAAAGGGTTGGTAAATAAAATTAGTATTTCTAGAATGAAGGAGATGATTGATGGAGAAATTAATGTTTGCCAGGACTCCATCTGTAGGCAGAGAACTACAGGCAACTAAAGACTTCTGAGAAAGGGAGGATTCATCCTTCCTATGCTCCAGCCCCACCCTGTGAATTGATTACCCAAGGGCAAGTGGTCAGCAACACTGTCAAAATCAGAAGATTGTTTTTATTTATTTTCTTTTTTCAAATACAATCTTCTCATTTAACATAGCTATACCTAGTCCCACTCTCTCCCTTTCTCCCACCCTTCCTTCCCCCCACCTCCCCATCTATTCTTTAGAAAGGGTCAGGCTTCCCATGGGGAGTCAACAAAGTCTGACATACTACTTCCAGGCAGGACTAAGGCCCTCCTCCCTATATTTAGGCTGAGCGAGGTATCCCTCCCAAAAAGAATGGACTCCAAAATGTCAGTTAAAATACTAGGAATAAATCCTGGTCCCACTGCCAGTGACCCCACAGAGTGCCAAAGCCTCACAACTGTTCCCCACATCCAGTGGGCCTAGTTTGGTCCTATGCAGGTTCCCCCACTATCAGTCCAGAGTCAGTGAGCTCTCACTAGCTCAGATCAGCTGTTTCTGTGGGTATCACCATCATGGTTTTGACCCCTTTGCTCATATTATTGCTCTTTCTTCTCTTGGACTGATCTCCAGAAGCTAGGCTCAGTGCTTCACTTAGATCTCTGTATCTGCTTCTATCAGTTTCTGGTTGAAGGTTCTATGATGACAATTAAGGTATTCATCAATTTGATTACAGGGGAAGGCCAGTTTAGGCATCCTCTCCACTGATGCTTAAAGACATAGCTGGGTCATCCTTGTGGATCCTGGAAATTTCTTTAGTGCCATGTTTCTTGCTGGTCCCTTAACGACTACCTCAATCAAGGTATGTCTTTCCTTTCTCTCCTTCTCTGACCTTCTCCCTTCTTGAGCTTCCCATTTCTGGGCTTGCATGAGAAGGTATAAAAGCATGTGTTGCAGTATGCCTCATAGGGAATCTGGCCTAGCTTCTACTTGATTGCAACGTTTTTTTCTTTCTGAAATTGACTAGAAAAATCTCAAAGCTTGTTAGTTTGGCGGTTATGGTTTTTAAGAGTCCAGGAACATTGAATTTATTCATCTTGTGTTTTCCTGTTCACAGAATCTTGTGCACAATTTATACAGAAGCACAGTGCTTACTTCATAATTGGAGTGGAAATGAAAGGTGGAGTTCATCCTTGTTGAAGAATGTGTGCTCAGATAGTTCTTACCCACCCCGCCCTGTATAGAATATACATAGGGACAAATTTTACTTACCCCTAAGACCTTCAGTTTTCTAATAAGGACTTTCTGCACTCGGTTTTGGGCATTATAGGCGAAGGCTGTAAGAGTTGTTTGTTCTGGACTGATGACCTCTGGAGGAAATATCAGGAACATGGGACTATTCTTATTGTTTGAATCCATGATGGTGTAGCTGGTCTTTTTTAAGTGGAAGGGAAGGATGTAGCTGGTTGTCCCATTTAGACCATGTTTGTTTCCTGTACTGAGGCTGTCTAGGGCACTGGCATTATTGCCCTGTGGCTTAGAACCATAGAACCATAAAGTCACAGAGTCATAGAATCTCAGGAATGGCCAAGAGCCCAAAGCTATGAATTAAAGTGCCCACGTCCGTGTATTGCATTGGAGAAGCTGATTAGTGGTCTTGGTTTGTCAGTAGACACTGTGTCCTTGGGCAAGTCATGTAGTCCTCTGTTCTTACAACTACCTCATACGTATATTAACCTGGGAAATCTTTTAGATTCCAAGTTTCTAGTGTTTCCATTTTGATGCAGAGAGGACAAAATCTCTCAGGCCTTAGAACTATTTATCCATTTTTAAAAAAAACACACACCTTATTCATGTTGCTTCTCGCTTAGAAGATAATTTTTGCCACCTCACTTTTGTTGCTTCATGTTATAAATTACCCCAAAGCATAGTGACTTCAAAGAACTGCAGTTTTATATTTTTGGGCACTCTGCCATGTACATTGCTGGTTTCCCCAGCTGGTACTGTTCTATAAAGCCCTGGTAAGTTCTGTCACACATCTGTGGCCCGCTAATAGATTGTGTAGTTAGAGGAGTGGGGACAGCATTAGTCACACATCTCAGAGTTGCAGGCTTTTGTTTTGTTTCCAGGACGACAATGCTCCTCAGACATCTGCTGAGTCATTTACTAGTGTCCCATTGGCCTTGGCAAATTCTGTAGGCAGTTTAGACTCAAGTGATAAAGGAACAGACGACTTCATTACTGGGTCTGGTCTGTCAAACTGCAAGGACATAAATGAGCAAAAGAAAGAATTTGTTTAACTTTTTAAGGTGTGCGCATGCATGTGTGTGTGTTTATGTGATGTGTGTATGTGTGCAGGCACCTGTGGTGGTCAGAAGAGGTTGGCACAGTTCCTAGAGCTGGAACTCAAGGTGGTTTTGAGCAGACCAGTGTGGGTCCCTGTAAGAGTGCTATTAACTATTAACTACTAACTCCAGCTAGCTGTGCAGCACTGCTGTGCACTCTCAGAGTGCTATTAACTATTAACTCCAGCTAGCTGTGCAGCACTGCTGTGCACTCTCAGAGTGCTATTAACTATTAACTCCAGCTAGCTGTGCAGCACTGCTGTGCACTCTCAGAGTGCTATTAACTATTAACTACTAACTCCAGCTAGCTGTGCAGCCCTGCTGTGCACTCTCTTTCTGTTGATTTCAAACTTTCCTTCACTGAGATTTCTGTCAAGTCCAGCATCTTGATAGCTGAAGGTTACATCCATAGGGCACAGTTTGTTTTGAGTGTACCTTCCTCACGTTCACCTTAAATGGACATAGATTTCTGCTGATGGTCAGCCTTCTTGAAAACCATCAGGTCTTGATTCATTTCCTTTGAGTTCAGGAATCTTTGGGTCGATGTAATGCCCCATTGCAATGGGCTGTGTACACGTCATTGCTCATGTTTTAGCTTTGCTGTGGGCCATTTTCCTCCCAAGCATGGTAACATTCTCATAACTGCCTGATAAGTGGATAAATAATTAATTGTTCATTATGTTTTAATTTATCCACATCCTTTCTCATGATGCAACACAAGATTCATCCTTGGAGCATGAAAATTCAGAATTAACCCTAAGCCATTTTTAAAGAGTTAAATTAAATATTTAATTGTTATTTATTTATTTATTTATTCTTGGAAAAAAAATTCTGCCTCCTCCCATCCTCCCATTTCCCTCCCCTTCCTCCCACTCCATACCCCTCCCCCCACTCTTTCCCCCTCCCTCTCCAGACCGAAGAGCAGTCAGGTGGAAAGTGCAAGGACTTCCCCCCTCCATCTAGGTCTAGGAAGGTGAACATCCAAACTGGCTAGGCACCCACAAAGCCATAACATGAAGGAGGATCAAACCCTAGTGCCATTGTCTTTGGCTTCTCATCAGTCCTCATTGTTCAGAGAGTCTGGTTTTATCCCATGCTTTTTCAGTCACAGTCCAGCTGGCCTTGGTGAGCCCCCAATAGATAAGTCCCTCTGTCTCAGTGGGTGGGTGCACCCCTTGTGGTCCTGACTTCTTTGCTCATGTTCTCCCTCCTTCTGTTCCTCATTGGGACTTTGGGAGCTTATTCCGGTGCTCCAATATGGGTCTCTGTCTCTATCTCCATCCATTGCCCAATGAAGGTTCTATGGTGATATGCAAGATATTCATCAGTGTGGCTATAGGATAGGGCCATTTCACATTCCTTAAACTCAGCTGCCCAAGGCACTAACTGGGGACATCACACTGGGCACCTGGGAGCCCCTCTAGGTTCAGGTCTCTTGCCCACCCTAAGCTGGATCCCTTAATTAAGATATATGCTTCCCTGCTCCCATATCCATCCTTCCTTTATCCCAACCATCCCAATTCCCCAAGTTCCCCCCATCCTCCCCTTCCCACATTTCTCTCCCCATCTCCCCTTACCCCCTCCCACCCCACCCCCAAGATCCCAATTTTTGCTCTGCAGTCTTGTCTACTTCCCATAAGCAGGAGGATAACTTTTTTTCTTTGGGTTCACCTTCTTATTTAGCTTGTTTAGGATACCAAATTATAGATTCAATGTCGTTTATTATGGCTAGAAACCAATTATGAGTGAGTACATCCCATATTCATCTTTTTGGGTCTGGGTTACCTCACTCAGGATAGTGTTTTCTATTTCCATCCATTTGCATGCAAAATTCGAGAAGTCATTGTTTTTTACCGCTGAGTGGTACTCTAATGTGTATGTATTCCACACTTTCTTTATCCATTCTTCCATTGAAGGACATCTAGGTTGTTTCTAGGTTCTGGCTATTACAAATAATGCTGCTATGAACATAGTTGAACAAATGCCCTTGTCATATGATCGGGCATCTCTTAGGTATATTCCCAAGAATGGCATTGCAGGGTCAAGTGGTAGGTTGCTCCCGAATTTCCTGAGAAACCGCCACACTGCTTTACAAAGTGGTTGCACAAGTTTGCAATCCCATCAGCAATGGATGAGGGTACCCCTTCCTCCACAACCTCTCCAGCAAAGGCTATCATTGGTGTTTTTGATTTTAGCCATTCTGACAGGTGTAAGATGATATCTCAAAGTTGTTTTGATTTGCATTTCCGTGATCACTAGGGAGGTTGAGCATGCCCTTAAGTGTCTTTTGGCCATTTGAACTTCTTCTGTTGAGAATTCTCTGTTTAGTTCACTGCCCCATTTTTTAATTGGGTTAATTAGCAATTTAAAGTCTAGTTTCCTGAGTTCTTTATATATTTTGGAGATCAGACGTTTGTCTGTTGCGGGGTTGGTGAAGATCTTCTCCCACTCAGTGGGTTGCCTTTTTGTCTTAGTGACAGTGTCCTTTGCTTTACAGAAGCTTCTCAGTTTTAGTAGGTCCCATTTATTCAATGTTGCCCTTAATGTCTGTGCTGCTGGGGTTACACATAGGAAGCAATCTCCTGTGCCCATATGTTGTAAGGTACTTCCCACTTTCTCTTCTATTAGGTTCAGTGTGTTCAGACTGATATTGAGGTCTTTAATCCATTTGCACTTGAGTTTTGTGCATGGTGATAGATCTGGGTCTCTTTTCATTCTTCTACAGGTTGACATCCAGTTATGCCAGCACCATTTGTTGAAGATGCTTTCTTTCTTCCATTGTATACTCTTAGCTCCTTTATCGAAAATGAGATGTTCATAGGTTTGTGGGTTAAAATCCGGGTCTTTTATACCATTCCATTGGTCGACTTTGCTGTTATTATTGCAATACCACGCTATTTTCATTACTGTAGCTCTGTAATAGAGTTGGAAGTCAGGGATATTAATGCCTCTATAAGTTTCTTTATTGTATAAGATTGTTTTGGCTATCCTGGGTTTTTGTTTTTCCATATAAAGTTAATTATTATCCTCTCAAGATCTGTGAAGAATTTTGATGGGACCTTGATGGGGATTGCATTGAATCTATAAATTGCCTTTGGTAGAATTGCCATTTTTACTATGTTGATCCTCCCAATCCAAGAGCAAGGGAGGTCCTTCCATTTTCTGGTATCCTCTTCAATTTCTTTCTTCAATGCCTTAAAGTTCTTGTCAAATAGATCTTTCACTTCCTTGGTTAGAGTTACCCCAAGATGTTTTATGCTGTTTGTGGCTATCGTGAAAGGTGATGCTTCTCTGATTTCCCTCTCTGCTTCCATGTCCTTTGTGTATAGGAGGGCGGCTGATTTTTTGGAGTTGATTTTGTATCCTGACACATTACTAAAGGTGTTTATCAGCTGTAGGAGTTCTTTGGTGGAGTTTTTGGGGTCACTTCTGTACACTATCATATCATCTGCAACTAATGAAAGTTTAACCTCTTCCTTTCCAATTCGAATCCCCTTGATTCCCTTATGTTGTCTTATTGCTATTGCTAAAAATTCAAGCACTATATTGAAGAGGTATGGAGAGAGTGGACAGCCTTGTTGTGTTCCTGATTTTAGTCGGATGGCTTTGAGTTTCTCTCCATTTAATTTGATGTTAGCTGTCGGCTTGCTGTAAATAGCATTTATTATATTTAGGTATGACCCTTGTATCCCTAATCTCTCCAAGACTTTTATTATAAAGGGATGTTGAATTTTGTCAAATGCTTTTTCAGCATCTAATGAAATGATCATATGGTTTTTTTCTTTCAGTTTATTTATATGCTGGATTACATTGATAGATTTTCGTATGTTGAACAAGCCCTGCATCTCTGGGATGAAGCCTACTTGATCAAAATGGATAATTTTTCAAATGTGTTCTTGGATACGGTTTGCCAGTATTTTATTGAGGATTTTGTGTCGATGTTCATGAGTGAGATTGGCCTGTAATTCTCTTTCTTGGTTGAGTCTTTGTGTGGTTTTGGTATCAGAGTAACTGTAGCTTCATAAAAGAAATTTGGCAATGACTCTTCTGTTTCTATATTGTGAAATACATTAA